TAAATATGTGTTAATATAATTGTGTATGTAGAATCTAAATTAGTTAACACAGTTTTGTTGTGTAGGAGAGAATGTCCATTGAAAAAGCTCTAGTGAAATAATTACTGCTTCAATAGAACTGTATCATATTTCTCTTTTGGCAAATCTTTTTGCTTGATGAAAATGATAAAAGCTCGCATAAATCTACTCTTTCATCTCCCAACTACTAGATATATTTCTGGACAGTAAACTGAAAATACATTATTATTATAGTAAAGTTGGAAGTGTGCTGGGCAGAGGGATGCTCGTGCATGGCCAGCGCACTCATCACTAATCGGATTAACTCAACTATTCTTTTGTTTCCGAAAGAAATAAATATAATCATAAACAAAACCAGACTGTCACTAATATTTACCGTATTTCCTATATTAGAGCCCCACCCTCTGTTAGAGCCCCACCCTCTAATACAGCCCCACTTTGGAGGATAGTTGAAAAATAGAGCCCCACCCTCAATTAGAGCCCCACCCCAAATACAGCCCCACCTAAAAATATTGGAGGAAAAAATATTAGAATAACTTTTAAGATGTATGTATTAAGAGAGTTAAGGAAATAAAGGGGGATATCTATGATTTCGTGATCATTGAGGAGGAGGGATCATGGGGATTAGGGATGAAAATGAGGGATTAATCCCGTTATCCGTCAAAATACTCTAATATCGCCTATATTCCTCTAAATTCCTCCTACATATTACCTCCAAAATCTAATCATTTTATAAAGGGTTGCAATCGTGTTAGGCACTTGATGATAATTCGCGAGATTATTAGAGATCTATTAGATATCTAATCAGTGATATCTAACCAAAATTTCTCTGGAACCGATTTCAGTTACGTAACTGCTATTTGAATTTCTTCAGTTCCAGTTCTGGAACCTGTTCCAAAGCTTTATCAAACAAATCCCTTCATATGCCTCCTAATACCCCTAGTCCAGAATATCCCTCATAATCCCTCTAAATCTCTCAATATAAACTTAATCCTCTGATATTCCCCATAATCCCTTAAAATCCATTTTTATCCCTCTAATCCATCAATGTCAAATAAAAGTCCCATAATATTTCCTTTAATCCGTCCAAATCTACCCATATTTAATAATTAATCTTACTCTCATTGAACTATTGGGACTATTTTGTAATTCATTGCTTAAAAAGTTTTGGTTTTTCTTGAAAAATCGAAAAATATAGATTCTCTTTCGATATTTTGCGGCTTTATCGACCAAACCCTCCGACTTATCTCTAGTTGCAATGGATATAATAAATGGGATTCTATCTCAAAAGAGGGTTGAAAAATAGAGCCCCACCCTCAATTAGAGCCCCACCCTTTAATACAGCCCCACCTTGGAGGATAGTTGAAAAATAGAGCCCCATGGGGCTCTAATATAGGAAATACGGTAATTTACATTTCAAAATACAATTTAAAGTTTTATAATAATAAAATAGAAATTCAATTAATTGACTAGTGGGGATACAATTTATTTATAAGTGATTAAATTAGGCGGGATTAATTATAAGAGGGGATATGACTTGTTGCTACAGAGTAGGGGAATTTGATATAAGGCCATTTAAGTCTTATTATATGTAATTAACATCAACAAATTTTACCAATTTTTTAAATTCCAGTATTTCTTTTTGCACTTCATGGCTTGTTGGAATTCAAATTAAAGACGAATCTTTGGACAAGCAAATGTTGAAATTTGAACTAGAAAAGGGTGTTAAAGCAACTGGAGTTAGTAAAGATTTGAAAATGTTTGTTATATCAACAGAAGAAATTGAAGATTGGTATAAATTAAAAATTATATGTATACTATTTAATAGAATTTTAGGGGATTTGAAGTTAATCAGAATGTGTAATGATTTGAATAGCACTAGAGAAACATCGATTCAACGCTATAAATAATTCCTATGAAATAAGTTTAGTTTCTGCAATTATTCTTTTTAACTATCAATTTTATTAAATGCACTTTTATTATTTAAAATCTTATTTCAATTTATTTTTGATTCTTGAAATTTTCAATTTATTACTAATTTAATTTATAGCAACCTTAGTAAAAAGTTAACGACATATAAAAGTACAATTAATTCATGTGAATTGTTTAACTCATAAATTCAACTTGAAATTACTTGATCTTCTTCCATCAAACTTTAATTTGTTAAGTGAGAGTTTCATCAATCATAGACTAAAGAGCCTCTATATGCCTATCCTCTAAATGCTTCGGAATAAATACCTACAAAAATGAATGACGTCACTAATTCGATTTCATTTAATTTTAAAATCAATTATTAATTAAAAATCAACACAAGTATTTATTAAATTTAAATATACAGTTAAATTCAACAACTACGGAGATTAATTTTTCTTTCGTTATTATTGTCTAAAACCTAATTCTTAACGAATTTTAAGATCTAACCCTCGAGAGGACCACATACAATTGACCGTGACTAAACACATCTTTGGTTAAATCTATTCCTAATCTCTTTAATGCTGCTCTTGGGCCTTTTCACAGTCATTGCAGTCTAACACCAATGGGAATTGATGCCTATGTAAATCAAATGTTACTCTCCATCGCAACACAGAGTGATGTCTGATCTGCTCTATCTTCAGTCAAAAGTTAAAAACTATAAAGTTTGGTTTTCTATGTTCAAATTTCTAATAGAAAGAGTTTGCAATAGTTTAGCCACCGGGCAGGATTCGAACCTGCAACCATCTGCTAGTTGTAGCTAGGCGCTTTCGCTCACTATCTGCAGGAGTTCTACCTCTGAGCTACCGGGGCATCGACTAATGCTTTCTCTTTTTCCTTTTTAGATCGTTTAACCCCCGCCTAAGCGTTTTAAATGCTGCTGGGTGAATCATCCTTAAATAATCAAACTAGCTATGGTATATTTCTTTAATCTTAATCATGTAATGGAAACCCATTTGGGCTGAATGAGTTCAAATACACGTCCAAATACTTGTCTAATATTTGTCTTTCTTCATTCTCAGCTTTGTCTCTTGTACAAAGTTTCGTTGACAGGAAGCATATTCAAAACTCTATTATTCGAATGTCTCACGTCGATAGTTTTCGGCGCAACAATAGCCATATTGGCCATCATATTCCAATCATTATCTATAATCACATTTCCAAAGAGCTTAGTCCAATTTTAGAATTGTTTAGAATTGCTCATATCTAAATTAAAACCAAATTTATTATGCAATGTTCTACCTCCTGGTAAGAGCGTTGACGCAATCCCAGTAAAGGCCATATTGCAAATTTTCTTATTGATTCCTCTTATCAAAGGAACAAGTGTACAAAGTACAAACGTCTTTCCTGATCCACCTGGTCAGCTGAGAAAATAGAAAGCCGTTTTCGCATCTGGATTGGAGATTTTATTCAAAATCTTATCTACTATTTCTCTTTGCTCGTCGTTTAGTAGCTCGTAGCTACGACGACCTATATCTAATTCATCAGCAATATTAAATTGCCCTTCAATACTATTTACTTGGTTCAAAGCCTTATATCCTGCCTTCAAAGTTCCGAAGTTTTGAATTTTGAACAAACCCTGGCTGAAATAACTTCGACCGTCTATGGCCCAACATTTTCCATATGGAACAACATCACACGTATTTGGAAAGAATTATCTTAATAGATCCTTTTTCCATGTTTTAACGACCTCCCGTAATGTTGAAACAGCGTTTCCCGTTGTTGGTTCTTTGTTGCTGAACAAGGTCGAAGGAGAAACCGTGAATTTCCGTTATAGAAAAGAAATAGGTATTGAAGGAAATTATTCAAATTTATGTGCTCAAGTCGCAAATTTAAGTAAAAATTTCTGTTCAATGAGAGTACATTTGTACGTAAAACAGTACGCATATAAACCGTAAAATGGGGGTAGGGATAACGGAAAAGTGCTAAAAATTTTTATAATTTTAACAATACTTTCCGTCATAAGTGGTGTATTTTTATTTAGTTTAGTCTGGAAATTTTGGCCGTTTCGAAACGAAATAAATTTTTTGTTTCATTACGAAACAAATCAAAAGGGAAAAAAGTGTACGAAAGTGCTTAACGAAACAAACGAAATTTCGGTCATCCCCTAAAAATAAATAATATTTTATAAAAATAAAGTGCAATCAAAAGATAAAAGACAATAAGATTAGTACAAAATTAGAGGTACAAAAATTTAAATTTAAAAAATCTAAAAATGAATAATAATCTTAAAAAATAAAAGGGCAATCAGATGATTCCACATAATGTAAAAGTACAAAATTAGCAGTACAAAAATTAAGAAAGCTAGCCCAAAACACGCCCCTCCTTTCTCAGCTTAGCAGGCCTTTAAGCCCTCCTCCTCTCTTCCTTTAAAACTCTGTCCTCCCCTCCCCAATTCATCATTTTATTTAATATATTCAAATTAAAATTTTCTAACTATAGTATTCTACTTTATTAAGTGTTGTAAAACGCGCGTATATCTCTTAAAGTTATAGGTGTATGACTGTTTTTGATTCAAGGCTGTGAAATAAATTTAATTAACTTTAAATTATAGCGATGCATTTAAAATTTGCTTTGTTATTTGTCCTTTTTTTCGTTGGCATTTATTGCTTTCGTCATGTTGGTAAAGTTAAAGCGCCAACCCGAGGAGTTTTGGTTCCAAAAGTTAAGGCAAGCAAGTTTGATAAAAACAATGAAAATGATAAAATGAATAATGATGAACTGACCAAGAAGGTTAAAATAATTGAGGAAAAATTTGTTGAAGTTAGCAATGTAATATAATTTTTAAATTAATCTACGGGTTAGGTATAATCGGCTACTAGCATAATTTTAAGTTGAATGCTCCGCGTGATTCCTGCAAAAAAATAAATAGTCTCTACTTTATTCTCTTTTAAATATTATTTTCACTTGGAAAACTCTTAGTGACTTTTATCTCTCGATAGAACTACAGAAAATTCTTAATACATTATTTATAGAAGCTAAATGAAAAGCAAAAAACAAACATTAAAACAATGTTGGACATTGTCAAACGCTTGATTGATGGAAATGTTGAAAATATGAGTGAACAGCTCTCGGTCGTTCAAAATGCGGCTGCAGCACTTTATGAGACATTTATGCCAAATAAATTAAATTATGAAGCTACGACAATTAACGAAGAAAAATTGAACAACCAAACATTTTTGAACCAGATTCTTTACAATCTTTTGAAGGGTGTTGAAGAAGGTAGTGAAGTTGATAATGAGACAATGGCAACTGCAATCGCTATTTGGGAGTATTTCATTTTTAAATTTGAAATTCCATCAAATACCGAATGTAACAGTGACATGAATACTAGCGGAAAGAAAAAACGTAAGTAAATGTAAAATACAGTCTGACCAAAAAGTAATGGGGCACGTTATTTATACGGTACGGAACAAAATTCCGATCTCTAGTTTATATGGCCGCGACTTATGCGCCGCGACATTTGCGCCGCCATTGTTTAAAAAAATCCGGATCCGAAAAATGCCGGATATCCGAAATTTTCAGTTCGGATATCGGATCCAAATATCCGAAGATTTCCAACTATCCGACAACCCTACTAAAGTGAGGTCCGACTCTAGTTATTGATATATTTTTAATGATAGTGGCGGCGCAAAAGTCGCCCGGCGCAAAAGTCACTCGGCACATAAGTCGCGGCGCAAAAGTAAGTCGCGGCGCAAAAAAGCAAGAGTCGCGGCGCAAATGTTCTCGGCACAAAAGTCACGTAACCGTTTATATAAGACAAATAGAGAAAATGAGCGAGCTATGTTCTACTTGGCTTACAAGATTGTGAAATAACGCAAGAGACGCAAGGGAAAAGTAGAGATAGGAGTCAGAGTTTTTGAAAATGAAAAAGAAAATTTAAAATGTTGATAGAACATTTTAAATTTCACAGCGAACTACTATATTATGGAGATCCATGATAGCAAAATCATTAAGCAAAAGAAAGGTATTCACCCATTCTCTTCTAAAGGTTGCCTCAGATTATCTAATGATAGGAGAGGAAGAATCATTAGAATAAATATTTGTTCAAGGACTAATACATATTTGTATTAATCCAAAATCTTACCGCATCAATACTATACCAGTAATAGTGACTTAATTACGATACTTTTCGTAGTACCTGCGTACTTAACGTGCCGAGGACTAATTAAAATATAAATGAGCCATTAATTTTTATTTTTATAGATGCCTATTCATTTAACAAAAAACAGTCACAAAATCGATATAAACGCGCTCCTTGTGATTGCCCACCTGAAACACTAATCGAAATATGTATGAATATAGTATTTTTTGTCCTTCTTATGATGGTTTTCTTACCAAAGGTGCATATTGATTATTATTTACCCTAGGACTGCTCTCTTTCATTCTTTTTTTAAATCTTGTAGCTAGAATGCTTGGAATCTTACAGACTAGAAAATATAAATTAATTTATGGAACATATTAAACTACATATAAATTACGGACATTTTAATTTTCATAATTAATTTCGGATTTCGATTATAAAAAAACTTCTGATTATTATGTATCCTAGGACTGCTCCGTGTTTCTCATTTAAATCCTAAAAATATATTAAATTTAATGATTTTAAAAGCACCTTTGCAGATTCCAAGTAACCACATTTTTCTTTATTACCTTTATGTACATATTTTTAACACTTTTTCGGAATATTGTAGTATGGGGTTTGCTGTTCAGGAATTTTCCCTTCTGATATCGACTTAGAAATGGATAGCAGCTGATGCTTCATATGTTTAGTTTTAGTACATTTATGTCAAAATTTTTCACATTTATTTTGTGCATGTGCATGCAGTCCAGTAAATTAGAGCAATTATTAATTTTTTGATATGAGGGATTGTTAATCTCGTAAACTTGGCAATAGTTGGGTGTAATTTAAATTGCAGTTAATGCTTATTTATCACTCCAGGCAAGAGTCCTACCCAATCTAATTCAGAGTATATAACTTAGTCCATAAATATCGAATCATGGAAGAGCTAGTATTTTTGGCTAGTCGAGGCTCATTACCGGGACGTTTCGGCAAAAATGTTTAAATTTATAGTTCGACGGTATATTGGACTAATATGTTGGTCTGCTCCTGTAGTAATTTTTTGGATATATAATTTTTTTATTTTAAAAGTAGATAAATTTGATTTTAGCTTTATTTTTTATTATTAGACTTTGATATCAGTTTAAGATAAGATTTGTTTTTCTAGTTTGGTGACCAAAATTCCGCTAGTGACCAAAATTCCAAAAAAAATGGTGACCATAGAATAAGGTAAAATTAGAATAATGAAAATTGGGATTACGGAGTTCTTTAATGTATCTCTGGGGGTAGGGGGTTCAAGAGAGACTTTATTTAAGTGCATGTGAGTCGTGTGATTTACTCGCATGTCATTTGTCTATAAAATAGAAAGTCACACACTCTAAATTAGACATGTGAAGAGACAAATAAATAAATATTTGGGTAATAAATATTTTTTATCCGAGGTTTTCAAAATCTTAGCTCCGGCTCCGGAGCCGGGCTCCGGATCTAGCTCCCGGAGCCATACCTAGCACTGGATAAGATTCTTTTTTTAAGTTTGGTGACCAAAATTCCTATTGGTGACATAAATTTAAGTGCCCAATATTCCGTTTTTTGACTTTGTGACCAAAATTCCGCTAGTGACCAAAATTCCAAAAAATGGTGTCCATAGAATAAGGTAAAATTAGAATAAGGAAAATTGGGATTACGGAGCTCTTTAATGTATCTCTGAGGGGAGGGGGGTTCGAGAGGGCCCAAGGCTGAAAAGCGTCTTTTAAATTAAAATTCTTTTTTTAAATCTAACTTTATAATTCTAATAATGAAAATGCACTTTATTTAAGTGCATGTGAGTCGTGTGATTTACTCGCATGTCATTTGTTTATAAAATAGAAAGTCACACACTCTAAATTAGACATGTGAAGATTTTTATGTTTAAGACATGTGTGTCATTTTATGTTTAAATCAGGGCTCTCATCGACAAAATACCAATCAAGAGTACGAAAAACTCGATTTTAGAGTACATAGGGACAAAATTTCCAAATTTAAAGTACACTCAAAATTAAATTAGAAAAATGAATCTTTTTATTATTACCCAAATGAATCTTTTCTAATAATTTCTTGTTTCCACTGAGCATTATGTGCATTTCAATGCATGACATGTCAAAATTCGCTGACACAAGAAGTAAAGCCCTAACTGTCTTAACCTCAAGCGAGCTTCGCTGCTGCCAGGCCCGTAGCCAGGATATTTTTCGGGGGGAGGGGTAAAAATTTTTCTGCGCCTAATTTTTGGCACCTTCGGTGCCAAAAATTTGATTTTTTGCGCCTCAGGCGAAAATTTTGAGAATTTCAAAGGTCGAAGGACAAAAAAATTCACTTTTTTGCCCAATCCCTTCTCCAATTTCATTTTCAATCCAAAATGTTGATTTTAAAGTACATACTCTCAATAAAGTACAAATTCAATTTTGAGAGTACGGAGGTCGATTTTAGAGTACTGTACTCTGAAATAAAGTACGAATGAGAGCCCTGGTTTAAATCTTGTAAATACCCAGAATGCTTGGAATTTTATTAGGATTGTAATTTCCTATACTAGAACATTTTAGAAGTCTGATACTAAGGGTGGCCATTTACAAATCACCAAATGGGACATGGCTTTTCAAAAAATGGGGCAAAATATTTCAAAATTGGGCAAAAAAGGGGGCCATAAAAAGAGGCAACAGGCCCCCTGTCGCAACTAATATAAGTAGATTGAGGACTAGTTTAGAATTTGAATACAGATTTCGATCGGTAAATTTTTTCGATAGCGAAATTTTAAAATATATTTAGTAATATAAAAATTAAAATTATGATAACGAAAATATCAGACCATTATGTTGTAAAGCATATAGCTATTAATTTCCTAAGGCTGAGCAGTAGGCGGCGTGGTTAGAATTCCAAGTATTCAACATTTTCTTACCCATGAATTTTTGATCATCGTATTATTATATGATTGTTCCGGATATCCAAGATCCTAAAGGAAAATTTTGCGAGAGTTTGCGGTTTCGTTATCTAAGCGATTCTGGATATCCGGCGTTTCCTGAACGGCAACCATTGTATATACACTGCGGTGCAAAAGTTTATCTACACCGACTGAAAATTTATTTAAAACAGTATATCTCGTGAAGAATTCGTTTATATGACATGGATTATTTTTATTATTATTAGGTAAAAAGTGCTCTTTCTAATAAGCCATAGTTTTAAAAATAACCCCCAGTACTTATAAAAATATACACTAGTTTCCGAAACTGCTTCAATTTTTTTCGGTGCAAAAGTTTATCTACACTTTGCAAAAACTAAATTTTTAGATGAATAGATGGCAATAAAAACACAAAAAAATTTCTGTGGGCATTTCGATTGATATTGAATATAAAATCAGAAAGAACAATATTTCTAGCTAATTTTTTCATCGAGATCGCAAATCTCGAAAATCAACTGGAAATGGGGTTACAGTACATCAAAAAATATTTTAGCGCCCTAGGGCCTGTATCAAAAATTCTTTTTGGGCTCATTAGAAAGCCCATAAAATTTGCTACAAAATACCATTGGTCTTGTCTTTGTAAAAAAATCTGTATAGTATTTAAGTGTGGGTTATTTAATGTGAAATTAAAAATGAGCATTTTATGGGGTATTTTTGGAGATTTTTATCAAAAATAATAACTTATTAAATTAATCGACCCTTATCTCAAGAAGTTTTTTATAGGAAAATTTAGGCTTGAACTATTTTGTAGCAAATTTTATGGGCTTTCTAATGAGCTCAAAAGAAAATTTTTATACAAGCTCAATGGAGCTAAAATATTTTTTAAAGTACTGTACCCCGATTTCCCGTTGATTTCTGTGATTTGAGATCTCGATGATGAAAACTGTTACGGACTTCGTTCTTTTTTATTTTTGACTTAGTATCAATGCAAATGTCCACAGAATTTTTTTGGTATTTTTTCTGCCATTTATTTTTCTAAAAATCCAATTTTTGCAAAGTGTAGATAAACTTTTGCACCGACAAAAAACGAATTAGTTTGGGAAAAAGGAGCATATCATAAAAAGTTCTGGTGCTTATTTTTAACACAAGGGCTTATTAGAAAGAGCACTTTCCACTTAATAATTGTGAAAAAAATCATTTCATGAAAACGAAATTTCCCCGAGATATATCATTCTAAAAAAATTTTCGGTAGGTGTAGATAAACTTTTGCACCGCAGTGTATGTAAATAATAACATTTTACCGATTTGAATTTTTGCAATTTATTTTTGCAAGCAGTCCAACATATTCCTCAAAATATTAAGTGAAA